TCTAATGGGTGAGATGGAGCGGATTGAAGTCATGTGAGATAGAAGGAAATGGGATTATTATTAGAGTCTAACGATGAGTTGTGAATGGTGATGGAGGGTGGTGTCTAGTGAGAAAGAGTGGCTTTTATTTTCTATGGTGATGGATAGATAAGTGTTTGGACTTGTGTTTGGGTTGATGGTGGTGGTAGATTTTTTCGTGGTAGTGAAATTTGGACATGTTGTGTAGTAGAAGGGGCACATGAAGAACATTGGCCTATAGTGGATCTTTCGAGCTAAGGCTCAAGACCTTTTTTAACCTTAACTTCACCAATCTTCCTCTTCTAACTAGGAATAAGGTGAACAATCACCATTTGTTGTAGGGTGGTGAGGTTGATCTTTATCACCCCTTTTCCTTTCTCGTAGCTGGTGGTGTTGATGTTTGCGACCTTAATAACTCTTATAAAGAGCATCCCATAGGGAATGAGTGCTCCCTTGCTTCTATCATGGTCTCTCTAGTTGAGATATGACTTCAAGTGGTTGAACACTAAATTAGGTATGTTTAGTAGAACCCCCAAGTAGAGATGATAAATACATAATATATCTATATCAAAAACTTTATCCCTAGAGCTAGATCGAAGGATAAACATGTTAAAGAGTAGGTTGTGCATTAGCCTACACAATGACTTCATCTAAGCAACACAAATGAACTTCTTCTACTCTATATTGTTAGATGGCCACTCAAAGGAGAAGTAGGGCACGACGTCTAGGGTCTTTTTTAAGATGACCTCATTCCAACCTTTAGAGTAGGTAAGCTTGACATCCTTGCAGATAGAAATAGTGTCTATTAGGGTCAAAGTGATTATGATCTCCTAATCATCAAGAGTTCCTACAATGGCATTGTTATTAGCCAATGTAGTTGCCTAGAAGTAAGCATAAGGTGCATATAACCATTCGTTCCTAAGTTCAATAGAGTTGGATCAATGAACCTTGTCCAAGTACTGCTTCATAGGAAATCTGTCATCGAAAAGTTTCTGCAAACTGACAAACTTTCCAAGGAGGAAATAGTTTTTAGGGAACTCTTTCATTGGAACCTTACTTTTGCAAAGATCATGTTTGGGTGCCATTATGGTGTGAATAGAGGTGAGGTTTCAGAGAAACTATAGAGTTGATATGAAAAATGTTAAGTGTTTTGAATAAAAGGAAAATGATTTTGTTTATATGGTTGGTAAGGTGAAAGGAGATGGTGAGAGAAATGATAGGTCATTAAATTTTGATTCAACGACGTTTCTAACCATCCCATTGTTCCACACATGCTTTATTCAAAATCCCATTTTATAATCATTAAGAAACATTAAATACAAGAGATATATTTTCAAATGAAAGATGGTACGTTGATGTGAATATAATAATAAAATAAGATAGATTAATGAAATTATACATGATGCAAGTACACATTAGCTTAAGATGATGCATGGAAAATGAAACATATCTAAGATGATGTAACAATGATGCTTAGTTTGATATGCATTTCAAGTTGAGATGATTCCTAATGAATCTAAAACGTTCTTCATCCAAGGCTTTGGTAAACATATTAGTCCATTGATGATTAATATCAATAAATTTTATGTCAAAAATTCCATTTTGTACATAATCTCAAATGAAATGATATCTAATCTCAATGTGTTTACCTTTATAATGTTGTATGGGATTTTTTGGATAAATTGATAAAACTATTATCACAGTACACAGGTATATTATGCTCAAGACTAAAATAATCTTCTCATTGATATTTCACCCATAGTAGTTGGGAACAACTAGCAATTGAGATATATTCAATTTTTAGAGTAAAGAGTGCAATAAAGTTTTACTTCTTGCTTACGTAAGAAATGAAACAAGGGCCTAAAAAATGATATCTTCCACTTGTGTTTTTTCTTTCCACTTTATCACCAGCATATTTTGCATCAAAGTATTCAACCATCCTATAATATTTATTTTTCTCATAAAATAGACTTAGGTTAGTAGTGTTAACAAAATATATGAAAATACACTTTATTACTTTAAGATGAGACTCTCCAAGATCATATTGAAAACATGCAAAAAGTGGTACACTATACACGATGTTGAGTCTTCTAGTAGTAAGATATATAAGTGAACCAATTATACCTTTATAGATCATTTGATCTTTGAGTTTACCTAATTTGTCTTTTGATAGTCTTATAGACAAATTGATAGGTGTAGGTATAGGTTTGCACTCATTCATCTTAAGCTTAGTTAGAAGCTCTTTTGTATATTTCTATTGATGAATGAATGTGCCTTCATTTGTTTGCTTGATATGTAGCTGTAAGAAGAATTTGAGTTCACCCATTATACTCATTTCGAACTCCTTCTACATAAGCTTAGAAAAATCCTTACATAGAGATTCATTAGTAGCACCAAAAATAATGTCATCAACATAAATTTTAACTACTATAAAATGTGTGCCAGATTCTTTTCTAAAAAGATTTGTGTCAAACTTGCCTCTTATAAAGCCATTGTTGATCAAGAAATTGCTTAATCTATCATACCAAGCTCTAGGAGCTTCAGACTATAAAGAGCCTTTTTGAGTTTGAAAACATGATCTTTCAAAGATGGATATTCAAAACCTAGAGGTTGTCTAAAATAGACTTCCTTTTCAATAATGAAAAAGTTTAAAATCTTTATGAGTTGCAAATGCTAGCATAATCATGGTAGCTTCAAATATAGCAACAAGCACAAAGGTTTCAATGAAATCTATATCTTTTTGCTGATTATACCCTTGAACTACTAATCTAGCTTTATTTCTTACTAATTTGCCTTGCTCATATAGCTTGCTTCTAGAAACCCATCTAGTTTCAATAATATTTTGATGTTAGGGCTTTGGAACAAGGGTTCAAACATCATTTCTCTCAAATTGATGAAGTCTTTCTTATATAGTTAGAATCTAGTCATTATCTTTGAGAGCTTTGTCTATCATCTTTGGCTCAATTTCTGAGACTAGGGCATAGAAGTCGTTGTCTCTGAAAGTAAATCTTTTTCTAATTCCTTTATTCCTATCTCCCAATATTTGATGAGGATGATAGTTAACAAACTTCCAATCTTTGTGAGATTTGGATGCATCATTTGACTGATTTGCCTAACCTTTAGTTTTAACAATAATTTGCTCATTTGAATCTGCCTCAACAGTCTTCTCAGGTTAAATCTGCTTCCTTTTCTAGATCTAATAGTTTCCTACTAGTTGTTATGTAACACCCTAATTTTTATAAAATTATATTAATAATATATAGTATTTACTTTAATGTTTTAATGCATTTATTAGAAGGATTTTTAATATTATTTAGCTATTTGATATGAGCTTTATTTTTATACAAAACATATGTTATTTTTACTAAAAAGGATAAGTATATTTTATATTATTTATCTATTTTATGTGAGCTCTATTTTAATATAAAACATGATTTTTAATTAATATTTGATTATTTGATATGAGACAGATTTTTATGAAATGTATTTTATGAAAGTTAAGTATATGTTATTTTAATTAAAAAGAAAAAATGTATTTTGATTGTTTTCAATTGTTTTATAAAGGTAGAAGGGGGGACGTAGTGGTAATTTTGTTATTTTTATTATTATTATTATTATTAAGTAAGAAAGAGTTGTCAGAAGTTACTTTTCACTCTTCTCATTTCTCTTGACTCTACTCTCTCATTTCTTTTCTATGAGCTTTGAATACTCAAGAGAACTAGGAGAAGGAGATTACCAGGGAATCGCACATACTTCATCTTCTACTCATCCAGGTAAGGGGAAATCTTAACAAGTGGTTGAATGTTTGCTACTAACATCATGTGATTGTGTAGTTGTGTCTTCGTATTAGAAGATGGCTGAATTTCTTGAACAATAGTTGGTTGTGATAGTAAAAATCTCACAAGTTTGTGTGAGGACTAGATGTAGCCTAGTTAGGGTGAACTAGTATAAAATCTATGTAAACACTCTCTTTCTCTTTCTCTTTCTCTCTCTCTCTCTCTTTATATCTTTACTTGTTTATTTACCTTATTGCATCTAGCATTATATTACTACATAATCTATTTTGAAAAAAAGTAAGCTCATAAACAATTTTTAGAAAAATATAAGTTTCAATATCCAAAATACCTATTTTCTAAAAAATAGATTTTATAAAGAACTATTTTTAAAAGAACAATACATTCAACCCCCCTTTCTTGTAGTTTAACATTCACTTCAGCTATAACAAACAATTCAACATTTTAATCATATAACATATATAATTAAATAAACCACCTAAACACATACAATGTTACATTTTACAGAAATAATGAGTAAAATCTGAGTATTAAATGACCATTGCAAATCCGTAAGCATTTCTCACAGGGTTGCTTCATCTATCTCCATCTTCCTTCCTTGTGGAGAGAAGTGTCTGTTGGTACAATAAATGTGAGTATTAAATGCGTTTCACCATATTGTCAATTTTTCTTTTATTAGAGGGGCTACTTATCACATTTAAAGTACCAAACAAAAGGAACTTTTGTGTGTGTCAGTCAAAAATGACTTTTATGAGATTTCACGTACTTTGAGGTATTTACTTGTCTTTTTTTTTTTTTATGAAAAACAAGTCTTTGTTCCTTTTCGAGGTGCAAGTACCAAAGAAGTTTTTGTTCCTTTTAGTCTGTTAAGGAATAACATAGAAAACTATGATTTAATTATCAGACATCATAAATAATATATATATATATTAAATGCATTTGTCTCATACAGATGAAGTTGTTCGTCTAAAAGACTACATGTCATCACAACCAAATGTCTATTATATTTCATCTTATAGTGTGATTTGAAAAACTTTTCTTTGATAAGCATATGTAAGTTTATTAGCATTAAAATTCATACTTTGAGGAATCTTGTGACACCCATTCTACCCCAACATATAAAACAATTAAATAAGGAAGAAATTCATTTACAACTCAGGTAAAATAGGTTCACATATAATCCACCTCTGAACATCCAAGCAAATAAAAAAAATTATAAAACATAAGGTTTTCAACCGTGATTAAATACAAAAAGAAATGGTAATCAATATGAAAAGATAAAATCCTATTCTAATCCTATTGTCCCGATGTCACATTATCATAGCAAACAAGTCACTTCAGCTCTCAGCACCTAGAGTGTCGCCCTCATCACTTTTACCATTACCTAAAATAAACCACAATGAATACGGATGAGAAAAATGGTTAATCATATATACGACACAAGAAAAGAATCCCACCCCAACATATAATCAACCCACATACAACTCCAGTAACAACCAATAACAATAGTGTCATCATCGCATACCCATTAATTAATATCACCACTATCACATCATCATACAGTTCATGTATCATGTTTATGCTCACATCATTGCAAATGCAATGTACCTCCTAAAAGCATCAACTCAGAACGTCACACAATGGGCAAACTTCATCAATCTCCTCAGGTACCGCCACACATGGCCACACCATTTACATCACCTGTGACTAGTGTCACATTGTTAATCACCACTTATGGCTAGTGTATAATAATACAATCACCACTTATGACTAGGGTAAATGCAACATGCACAAATGCTCATGTCATGCTACCTCATCCATTCATCATTTCTATACATGCTAATACACAATTAGATATAGAGCCACATCTAACAACCATTCCAAATCAAATCACATTTTGCACATCAACTGATCTAAATACACATCATTCATACTTATTTACAATAATCATTAATGGGCATCATACAATTCACAACCATCATCAAAATTCATCAATATAATAACATATTTCTAGTTTGCGTCGGGCTTCACCAGGCCACGCCCGACTGTAAGCCAAAATAAAGGTACACAATATTTTCACGCCCAACTTCATACACCCACACTCGACGCTAAGAGCAAATAAAGAGCACCTTGTCTCTCTCACGCTCAACCTCGATGAGTTACGCCTGACGTTAAGGCAAGGTAGAGACTCACCAAATTTTTCACGCCCGACGTGATACATCCCACGCCCGACTTAACCTCATCTGGGTTTCACATTCATCAGTATGAATGCAAGTCCGATGCCAAGAACTCAAGCCTGATGCCCAACACATTTTCTAGAGACGCAACATGAACAAAACATAACCAAAATTCATAAGTAATCATATAATCATCTTTTTACCGATTAACAATAATCAAATTACTCAAGAACCTTACCCCACGAAGACATCCCAATGAATTCAATTATCATTCAAATCATCACTTTTACCGAACAATACAACAAACATATGCAATATAAAAACCCAATTGAGTCGTCAATTGCAGTGTCAGCACAGAAAATGGAAAACCTTAACAATTTTGGGATTTCTCCTACTACCCATCCTCTCTTGTAATCCCACATATAAACAAACTCATTTCCCTCCCCATACCTTATTGTGATGATCTGAAGCAATTTGATGTAATTTTGAGATGATCTAAGCACTTCTCCTCAAAGCTCCTTTCTTTTCTTCTTTCTTTCTCTCAGATTTTTCAGAATGCTAAATGAGGCCGATTAGCGTAACCTGTATCAGCCCTCTCTCTTAAAAGCCATTGAACCAGGTTAACTCGACCTGTTTCCCTTCTTTCTTTAAATTAATTTAATTCTTTAAAACTTCCTTATTATTTTATTTAATAAAATAATTCTCCACATTTAATTCCAAATAATAATTCTGAATATAATATAATAATATTTAATTATAAAACTACTCATTATTTAATAATATTTATTTTAGAAAATTAGAATATTACAAATCGAAGATCATCTTTTGATCTAACATTATCTTTATATATTAAATAAGAACTATTATCTTGCGCTATGATGCTTTTAAGAATTTATCTTTAATGAATGTGATTTTAGGTTTTATCTTTCAATTTGAGAATTTTCAAGAATTCTTTCGTCTTCTTATTCAATTCTATTTTTATTTACCATATTTATTTATAAATTAAATTTTAGTATTTTTAAAATAAATTATCAATAATTAAAAATAATTGTGTTACAATATTAATTATTTATCATAAATCTAAAATATAATTTACATATTTAAATATATCTATTTATACAAATTTTAAATATAATTTATATTTAAATAATATTTATTTGTATATATAATTTATTATAATATTTTGTTAAATATAATAAACATTTAGCATATACGGACTAAATACTAATTTATATTATACATCTTTAGTAATACGAAAATCATCATATTATTTATCTAGAATAAATAAATAATATAAATATAAATAGAATAACATCATAGGTCTCACAATTAAAAATATATGTGAAATATTTTGATACTATTTATCTTAAAAAAATATTCAATCACATTAAATATTAATCATATTTAACAACCAATATTTAATTATAATAATTAAATAATATATATCATATCTAATTAAAAATCTACAGAATAATTGTATCAAATAAATCACAAAATATTAATATTCATATATAGAACACGGCTGCAACAAAAATAACCTTCTTCAACCTAAAAATACAGTGAAATGAATATGTGATCAATTTGTATCAAAAGAGAGAGAAGAAAAAAAACTCTATGGAAATACGTAGGATGCAGGGGTCGAAGAAATGCCACGAAGAATAAAAAACATCGCCGTTTCATAGGTACATTTTCAAAAAGGAACTGCTATGGTATCAAGGAAAAGAGTGCACCATTTTACACGCAGTTGAAATGTAAATACAGGTTTAGCTATAGCATGTCTTCAGATGAGTGGAGTTCCACGTTCTCGGAATGATCTTGCCGGACAATTCTTCCAGCTTGTATGCTCCATTGTGGAGTGCGTGCCGTATCCGGAACGGTCCGTCCCAATTGGCTGAGAGCTTCCCTTCGGATGAGTTGCGCCTGGTCGACCCAGTCGCTCGCCAAACAAGATCTCCTTCATGAAACGTCCTTGGCTTTAAGTTGGAATTAAAGCGCCTACTCATGCGTTGCTTGCAGGCCTCGGCTACAATTTGTGCCCTTTCTCGCACTTCATCAAGGACATCGAGTTCGGCTCGGTGTGAATCATCGTTAGATTCTTCATGGAAGTGTTGTCGTCGAAACGAAGGTTCTCCTACTTCAACCGGAATCATTGCATCTGCGCCGTATGTTAGGCGAAAGGGTGTCTCCTTGGTTGTTGATTGTGGTGTACACCGGTATGCCCAAAGGACTTTCGGTAATTCTTCAGCCCATGCACCTTTAGCCGAACCAAGTCGTTTCTTGAGCTCTGTGAGGATAACTTTGTTCGCTGCTTCGGCCTGGCCGTTTGATTGGGGATGCTCGACTGATGTGAACCGGTGACGAATGCCGAGATTTTCAAGGAAGGTGTTGAACTTCTTGTCAGTAAATTGAAGGCCGTTGTCCGAGACGATGGCATAGGGAATGCCG